CTGCAACTTGTCATAAGCCCTGGTTCCTACAATAGACATTCCCAAATGTCATTGTGCTACAGGGTCGTGCTGACTGGGGGATTGGGGGGGAGTTGTAACACTCATTTTACAAGTTATACAATAATGTTCTCTGTCCTCATAGTATATAGTAGACATAATTTAGTTGTTCACATTTTCGTTCATTTTCAAGTTCATCATGTGCACACTTTCAAAACAAGTTGTCAGTGGTTAGGTCATATGTTTATTTGCAACATGTCGCATGAAGGACTTCCATTTTACCAGGATCATATTGCCAAAGCCTTTTACTGTAGATGTTGAGCACCAATAAACATTGGTTCCTCACTGCTTTTGTCCATTCACCAATTTGTTCACAACCCTTCTCTTTGCTTGCAGCCAGCTTTTTTTTACAATGCCTTTGGCAATATACCATTGATCAAAGAAATGCTGAATTGCTGGATGAGAATCTCTCATCCACTTTGTGATCCCGTGGTGCCGATCGGATATAAATACTGGGATTGTTAAGCCAGCAACAGTCAGCAAGAAATCAAAGCAACCCTTTACCCCTTCCAATTCCATTGCATTACTGTTACCAGTCTGATTTGCCTGCAACATGCAGAATTTTGATTGACTCATGATGTTGGAATCTAAGCATGCACACCATTGAAGAAAACGTGTTCTGAGACCTCTTCAAACTGTTCAATGATGGCCATTCACTAATTATTAACATGTTTCAAATGTCAATTGTTTTACTGCCATCATTTGATTAAGTTCCTTTTTGACGTACAGTACCACTAAGATATAAACATGATGACATTGACTAGTGTGTGGGCAGATATGGAACAGTTTGAACTTGGAAGTGCCACAGAACATGCTTTATTAAAACTAAGGTATCAATTATAGAGTAAAGGCTAATGCTCAGTCACACTACAGATTTCAACAGGCATGACTGGCGGTCTGGCAATTGTGTCATTTTTGGTCAGTATGATTTGGATACACTGTAAAATGTAAATGAATTTTCTTGTAGTGTAGCCAAACAACAATGACATTTATAACTTTTTTGCATTCTGCCAAAACAGGAAACAACTGACAATTCATTGTGACATTTGTGTGGAAACACTGTGGCTTTGCTTGGGGGTAACATGCAGTTTCCTTCTACAAATGCAATATATTTCATACTTACTTGTAGCAAATCGAAGTGAACAAGTTTCATTATTGTGGTACAAAACATTGGATACACTATTTTGCAGAATGACCCATTGAAGCAAACCTACCATCTCCGCACCACACTAGTAGATATGCCCCCCCCCCATCCAGCGGCGGAAGTGACGTCAGCATTTTGAGGATCTTCCCGTCATAGGACGTCAACATTTTTTAGGGATAAGAGTGACGTCATTTTTGGAACATTGTCGCGTAACATTTGTCGTGTGATCTTTTGGAATTTTGAGATGGCGTCAGCAAGTACTGTCGCATAACATTTGTCGCGTGATTCAGAGTAGCAAGACAGAATTTATTATTATTGGCTCTCGTCAGCAATTATCCAAGGTATCGATTGACAAATTGAGGGTAGGAGAAGTATTGATTTCTCCAGTAGGTTTGGCTCTTATTATAATTTCAAGTGACGCCATGTAAATTATGTTTATAAAAAATGTTTTTATTTGCAGTGACAAAGATATTGATCATGTTCCTAGCTGCTATTCCTGTTTCATTGTTTCATATATATATAGCCTCAGGGAAGTAGCAGTTCTGATGAGTCATGAGAACCCCACTCCCCAACCCCCATTAGGAAAACGTGTAAGTGTAGAGGGAAGGTTGGAGGTAGAGGGAATACCAGCCACTAGGACCCAAGGTTTTGAAAGATCGCTGTCTAGCACCCCCACTAGGCCCCATAGTACATGACGGATATGGTGATCCTGATGCTAGGAATATTCTTCCAGATTCTGCCCCTCGCCAACATGTCCAAGATCTATTTCAATCAAGCTTTCACCAGAAGTATGAACTGTGAGCTTCAGTTCATTCGGCTCCTTTTTACTAAGGGAAAGCTTCAGGCAGTAGAAAGGAGGATTATTCAGCTATCCCTATATGCCTCGCGCTTTCTTTCGGCGAGCGACTTCCGGTTTTCAGAAAATGGCAGAAAATTTTGCGGGGTATTTACACGATCTTCAGACCAATATATTGAATCAACGAGGGACACTCTTCACAACATATTCACCAATTCATACAGGTTTTATTTATTCTCGAATTACTTTCTATGCAAAAAGTTAATTAGAATTTAAATAAACAACAAATTTTATCATTGTTTACCGACTGATTAATAATCAAGCAGGCTTCGCTAGGCGACACAACGTGTGGATATGGTACTTGTATGGATGGTACGGATTTTTCGAAGGTTTCTCGGGTATTATGATGAAATCAATCGTTTCTATGGTAATTTTCCTCCTGTTTGATACCAAAGGTCCCCATTACTCAGCGATGTATAGCCCTCATAATTTTGATGCCAAAAGTTGGAATATCGCACACAAATTCACGAAGCTGGCAAACAAAAATATAGGGTTGACAAAATAAAACTTTAAAGAAGGAAAATGTAGTTTGAAAGTAAGGTAAAATGTCAACAGAGAATGTTAAAGACAGTTTTGGAGCCTGTGCAAACACAAAGCGACCACTGGTTTCAATCGATAATCTTGAGGACAGTATAAAAATAATATAAGCATCGAGAAGGTTGGATTATCACTCCTCCCAACTACAGGTAATTTATTAATTAAACTTCAAGCCCTTGTTTTATTTACATTTTTGGCACACAAAAGTATAATACAGGCAAGAAACTTCCCAAGACTTCGTCAATGTTTTTATGTGATATATGCATAATTTGTCATACCAGTGTCCAGTGATTTATAGTGAATCACAAATGGGCAAAATGGCACTGCCAGCAATATGTATTAATTAAACATAAAAGGGATCTATATTTTACTATTTGTCATTACAGCATGCTACACAGTACACTTTACAGGAATAAAGACCATAGATAATGATAAATCTTGAGGCTAATATACATGATCATTTTTAAATCTGTGACAGGAAAACAAGTCGCCTTTAGCACCCTCACAGTCTCATCAGACAGGCAATGAAGGACCAAAGAGCCAGCGTATTCCTTGGACCACAAGAGAGGACAAAGCACTTGTTCAGTTTGTATCGTTGCACAAAGATGAACAACCTACCGATATCAGTGTCTGGCCTGCAATGAAAGCATCTCATCAATATTGGCATAAAGCGGCAAAATATGTACAGGAAAACTGCTTCATCAGAAAAGCGAACTGGTAAGATTGCCACAGCTTAGTAGAAACTATGGTGATGAGATTGAAAGCAATAAGAAATAGTGATAATTAACCATAAGTATGACAGTTGATATAGTACACAAGGTCGATAATTGAGGAAAATGCAGTGTTTATTGAGTGCTGTGTTGGTTACACAACCTGACACCAACCGATTGTCAGTAACCATTGAAAGAGAAAGTTATGCAACAGTTTTTACATTGGTAATCACCAACTGTTCAACAGTCAGAACCAAAACCAACATCACTTTCCCTGTTTTCACAAATAAATTTGTTAATATGTAGCTTACTCTGTAATTTGTTAGAGCGCTCTGTTCGTCAAAGAGTTGTCAACATTTTAAGGCCAAAATTTAAGACAATTGAAGAAGCTGAAAAAGGGTATGGATTGACCATTGACACCATCCTGGATGGAAATTTTCTGAATGAGAACTCAGAAACACCGACAAGTATGCTAAATACCCCAACATTTCTTGTCTCACGTTTGAGCAAGCTTACACCCGAGCAGCTTGAAGATGTGGTTAAAGAAGGCCTTGGACTCCTATTTATCAAATCTGAAAGATGTGGAATTATCAAATCTGAAAGATGTGGAACGTGTTACACTGCCAATGTTTTCTGCACTTGGAAAGGAAATTAAGATTGCTATTTTGGATAAGTTGTTTTCTGATCTATCTCATTCAGTTGGTCTTATCGGTAACTGTTCTAATTTTGTCAATTTATCCATTGAAGCAATGAAAGTTTTGCAGGATGCAAAAAAACACAACCTTGTCTATAAATGGTCACAGTGCATTGTTGGAGAAAATGGAACACCATTAATACCACTGAATAGAATGCCATTTGGATTAATAGAATACCAGTTGGAGTTTTTCACTGCAACAAATGTTATGCAGGTAGGTGTAGAATATTTTAAAACTATGGTGTAAAAGGTGTAAAACTATGGTCTACAGGTAGAAATTGCTTGTAGAAAGGATTTTCCACTGGGCACTGTACACTAGTCTGATACATTGTCCACTGATCCCTTAGGATATACCATGTATATGGTAAGTAATTAGATTGATTAAATACATATTGATCTATACATGTATTTCTCTTGTGTAGGTTAAAGAGCCTGAGGACTTCCGGTTGTGGCGTGAAACAATGGAAACTGAGTTTCCCAGCCGCTTCAAGCGTCTTTTTGCTGGTCCTTTATGGAGTGGTGGAGGAAAGGATGTCACAAAGGATCCTAAAATGGTATGAGTTGTGATTTTATTACTTAGATGATTTTTTTGTTTTCCTAGCTAATTCTCAATAAATTGTTATCAAGTTTTAGTTGAGTAAAATTATAAACCACTTTATTTGATAGATTAATTACAATAGGTGGTTATACAATCTGAGCTATCTGTTTGAGCAACCTGATATCCAGGGTCTATCCTCAGTGGGTGTGAGCACCCAGAGGCTAGAGAGCGACCACGGAAAAGAGCCTGTGTATGAGGTTGTTTGTTTCAGTGGTTTTGTGTATTTAAGATGTTTTGCCACGGACACAGTACCATAAAATCAAGAGCCTATTATCTATGCTGCCCCCAATGATGAGGATTGTAATATTACAGTTTTAGTAGAGTTGCACATAGCATTTATATCCGTGTTCTGTTTAGGTATTTGTTGCCTGGGTTTGTAAATAGGCAGACAGTACTTTCCCATTATAATGCCTACTTTAACTAGTCAGACAATATTATTGCCCAGGTGAAGGTCCTGATATATCCTTACCCTATACTGTAAGTGTTGGACTGCTGGTATTGGAAATTTATGATCATTCATCATTAGCTAATTTTTTGAATGAACTGGATTTAAATTCTGGCAGTAAAACTGTTACTACATGTAGATGCTGATTATTTTATTAGGCAAAAGTTAATGTGGCATGCTCAAGCTACAGCAGTCAGTGGAGACAAAATAAAAAATCAGAATATACTCCGACTCCAGCAATACAGGTAAATAAAGCATCCTTGCATCTAAGCGAGTTATTCAAGTAGCTACGTGCATCTAAACGAGTTATTCAAGTAGCTAATTGAATGCATCTCATCTGGAAAAGCACAGGGCAAGTATATAAAATTATACAATGTTCATTTCTTATACTTAATGTTACACAGGTTGCAGCCATTGATGAGTTGAAGTCAGGAAATTGCAATGTCCGTTTCTGGATTAAACTTGATGGTACAGATGTAAGAGCAGGAATAATGGAGTCACAAAAGAAGGTTTGGAACGGTGACGTAGATTATGATGATGGCAAGCTAAAGGAACTAAGGGATGAATACGTTGACATGAACGCAAAAATGGAACTTCTGAGAACTCCTATTGTTCCCCAGCCAAAGATAGAAGAGATTATCAAGAAAACCATATCTGATTTTCAGGTGGAAACTAATTTCCTTAGCGATGGCTTCAAAACAGCAAAGAAACTCTTTGAGGAAAAAATCAAGCAAGGCAACTGCCCCGAGGCTACTTTAAAGGAAAGAAACTGGGAAGTTGTTGAGTACCAGACTCTGCTTCAACAGAGCCAGCAACTTGCACTTAACTTTCAGACTGCTGTGTCATCAATTTCAGGCTCAACCATCACAAAGCCTATGAGAAGAAATGTTAATACCCTTGCATCACATCGTTCGCAATACCTTAGGAATTTGTACAAGAAGAAACGAACCAGTGCCACCCATGTTGTTGTTACAATGTTGTCAGATGAAAGGAGATCAAGTAAACCTTATGCTCTTCCTGTTCGATATATTCCATGTATTACACTCAAAGACAACGATGTGAGGAAGTTCAACCAGGATCTAAAGAGGGAAATGAAAAAGCGAGATATGACCCTTGCAGGTATTATTGTTAGCTTGTCACTGTTTAACTTGATTGCTCTGTAATAATGTATTTTATGTGGTGTACAGTAACAAGTTAAGGGATCTTGCCATACGGGCTATGGTGAAATGATCTTTGTCCCTAACCTTCACAACACATTACCATAAAAATCTGGAGTGAGATTTTATTGAATAGCCATAGGCACTTTAAGAAGTTAAGAAGGTGCAGAGGTGGGTTAACATTTAACCTTACTTCTACTTTGAAGGAAATTTGCATGTTTCAAATCGTTAATGCTTTATAATAGCCTTTCCCTCTTTATTGTCAGCGTCAAGAGTCTGCTTATCAATGGAAAGGTCTATCGAGAGTATTGGCATTGAAATGTTAATTGTTGCAATTTACTGTACATTATGCGCGAACATACGTTTTGTTTTATTGCATTTAGGTACTGTAACAGATGGTGAATTTTGTTCATTGCGATCTAAAGGGGAATCAAGAGCTTTGCATGTGTGGCAGCTTATACATGATGCCCGACAACAGGCAAGAAATATGTCAAAGAAGAAACTTGAAGGATGTCTTTTGGCAAAGTCAGGTATCATAATATTTGTGTTTTTTCCTACATGTATACAGGTGTCGGTTGTTCAAAGCTGGATTAGCCCTAACCCTTGATCAAAATTTAACCCACTTTCTTGGTTTGAGTATTTCTGCACGTCTGTTCATTTCAAAACTTTGGAAAATAGAACTTCTGATGATCCGGACAAGATTTCTACAAAAATATCTCGAAGTTGATAAACAAGATGTTGGTAAGTTTGCTTTGACTTTTACGTTAACCTATGATTAAGCTAACCAGCTTTTGGACAACCAGCCATGTATCAACTATGTCCATGTTCTAAGATCCGTGTTTTAAAGGTACATTCCTACAAAATAATGCGTTCATTTTAGAGATGATACTCGTACATTACATGTATTTTCAAAGTATGAATTGCCGCGTAGCATTCTAACTTACAATTTGTACTCTATTTCCCAATGCCAGTTGGTGTTAAGACGATGTTACATGGAAAACTTGTAAGGCAACTTACAATGTACTGTAAATTGTCCTGAGGTTCCCAACTAATCAAATTACATGTAACCACATTTGCATTGCAAATTGTCATTACAAGCATACTAAAAGTTGTTCCGTGTAACATTGCCTTATTTGCATTTTGATTTTTGTAAAGAGCTCTGATGTCATCTGTTTTTTTATGATATAATTATGTACACTATGTTTTTTAACGCCTGTGACCTGTTCCAATTCCTGAACAATTTCTCTTTTAGATCTGGACGATGGTACACCTGTTGTTCCACTTCCTATTACTGCCATTCCTCTCGATGTTATTGAGGAGATTGACATAATGACAACAGATGCAGGAATAGAATTGGAAACTGCAATTACCATCATCAGACAAAACCTTGTTCCAGCAGGTCATACTCCTTATCCTTTCCGAAGAAACAATCCCGAGTCCTATCTGGACATGCTGCGTTCAATTGTAGCAACATATCTATACAGGGAGAAGATAGAAGAGCTGAAGAAGGAAAATGTTGACTTCTCAACATTTTTGTACGTGCCAGAAATAGATCCAATTATGGGGACTCCAAGGCATGACCGTAGTGATCACAACCACTTATTTAGGCGAGCTGCTAAAAGTGTTCGGGAAGGAAAGTATAATAGCCTAAATTATGAAGCATTTGACGCTGCACTATTAGATCCCAAAAGTGGCCTTACACACGCTGCTTTGATTAGCAAACGAAAACAGTCCCTTGTAGATGCGGAACGGCTTCTTTCCTATCACGTGGTTGAATCACTAAGAAGGCATGGGCACGAAAGAGAAGCCAAACACGTTGAGGTTATAGCAAACTGGCATGAGGCTACCGATGGCAGAGGTATCAGTCAACTTAAACGGTGCAAATATAATCATTTGATGCTGCAATACATCCTGGATGAGTGGATGCCTTGGCACAAGAGTTGTTATGATTTCTCCACGATTGACATCAACAGGTAAATATTTAAAATTGCCCTGTGTTTTCAAAGATATGTATAAACTGGGAAAAATGGGTAGGGTAGGGTAGAGTGGAGGGTAGGGTAGTAGGGTATCTACTGTTAAAATAACATTGAATCCTGGAGTAAACCTTTGTCCATAATTGGTATACCATGCATATACTATGTTAACCCAATTATTGGCGAAAATGAACCTGTTCATTCTGCTTTAAATTCCCAAACGCCACTGACATTTTTAACCGTATTACAGACCAATAGACAACATCTGTGGATTCTCCAGGGAGACAGTGATTGAAATAACCACAAATATTGAAAGTCAAGAACTTCGAAGATGTGAGAACGAGGCTATTGGCTATCCAGAGCATCCACGGGCTGGGGGAACAGATGACTTGGAAACCTTTATCAGTTTGACCCACCACTACATTGGAAATGTCTTCTCACTCAAGCAGTTTAAGGAATTTTGGCCACAAATTGTGAGGTAAGCTATCTATATAACTGACGATACACTCAGTCTGCACTTACCAAGGGATTGGCGTGCCATGGACGAACCAGCCCTATACACCTTTTTCATAAAGGGCTGCCGATTAAAAATTCTTTTATGTGCATATAAATTGGCCCAACTAGGCTCGTTTCTGGGTAGAAATTCCTTTGAAATCTTAACATGAGTACGAGGCTAGTTGGGCCAATTTATATGCACATAAAAGAATTTTTAATCGGCAGCCATTTATGAAAAGGGTGTATAAACTGGTCTGCTGCTGACAAGAATTTACCCATCACTGTATGGGCCTGTCTTTTACATAATGTAATAACTTTGGGTCTTACTTTTAGTTGCATCCTAGTGTAATGTCTTAAAATATGCTATACCCTGTGTCATGCAGGATATAAATGCTTTCTTTTTTCATTAGGGAATTTACCAAACGGATGTCATCTGATCTTCCATTTTATTATTATACATTAAATGAAAGATACAGGGAAGCTGAAATGCCATCATTTGATGTCATCTCAGAAAAGTCAAACGCAAGCAAAGAACACCAACCACGTCTTCACAAGCTCCGAATTAATCACCGGGAAGACAACTCCATTCTGGTGCCTGGACGAGCAATGCTGCCTATTCGAAACAAGGGGACCATACGGCAGAGGCTGCACAAACCAGAGATGGGAATGCCACCAATCCCAACCCATCTAACACTGACCGATTAACTATGGTTCGAGATTTTATATTGAAGAGACCATGAAACATAAGCCTATATATATATAAATATATATATATTTTGTAATCCAGGTATATTGTGTTTATTTTAAGTTCTCCGGATTAAATTGTTTTCTATTGAGCTTTCAACTTGGTGCTGGAGTCTTCTTCAGAATGTTTTCTGGCTTGAATGGCCGTGCTGTTCTTGCATGTATACGACGGGAACGTACGGATCAACCAATATTGCAGAAGCACTGAGTTGAATGCTCAATATATATATATATATATATATATATATATATATATATATATATATATATATATATATATATATATATATATATATATATATATATATATATTATATATATATATATATATATATATATATATATATATATATATATAACAATTCAAGTCTTCTTGATATAATATAGAGTGCTCAATACTTTATTGTAGAGCTAAATATATAATTATTTAAATAAAGTACAAAACAAACGTTGTTACTCAGAGTTTCATGCCTGAGTTTACAGACAATCTTCGGACAACTAAAGTTCTGTTAACTAAATTTGACGGTTTGGTTTTGTTTAAAAAAAACAAAACCAAACCGTCAAATTTTGTTAACAGAACTTTAGTTGTCCGAAGATTGTCTGTAAACTCAGGCATGAAACTCTGAGTGACAACGTTTGTTTTGTACTTTATTTAAATAATTATATATATATATATATATATA